AGTATTCACAGCATAAAGTATGTGATATATAACAAACAATTCTGATACTCAAACTTCTCAAATTCTTCAAATTTGTCCAAGAAGCTAAAAGATCAACAATATGCTACAAACAACATGACAAAGGCTGACATGCATAAAAGGGCTTGGACCCCGGTCATAACTGCTTTGCAGTTCTAGTTAATAGTTGTTTTCATGATTTCCACACGGTCAGTCCTTTTGTCTCTCTCTGTTGCCGACATGTGCAGTGATGGTGAACCCAGACTCTTGCTCAGAGTCGTGGCTTCTAGATGACACGGTCACCTGTAGATTCACTGCAGCTGTTCTATAAACCTCCTGAAACGTCGCAGCTTTGATTTCAGCACAAATAAAAGAGGAGCCTCACAGCTTCATCTCTAAAATGACCGAATGAACAAAAACTTGCACAGGAAGTTGACTTCTACCCATCCTAACGTGCTTGTCTTTCTCCTGATCGAACAGATCAGATCAGACTTGTACTCTGTGGCTTTGAATGCAGCATTATGAGTGTAAACTTAAATCCTGCTCAGCCAGTTTTACAGATACTGAGCTGCAGTTTGATGTGGTTCAGAGTCATCCTCAACCTCAGATAAAAGCTGCCAGGTGACGTGCACTCCTCCAAGGACTGCCTGCTCTGTTATTTTCAGAAGGATTCGAAGGTTTTTACCTGATGATGTTTTCCAGGACGCACCAGTCTCCTGCGTCGATGTTCTCCATTTCTGCCTGAAAATTACGTCCACAGTAAAAGTGACTGTACTCCAGCTGCAGGGGCCGGTTGCAGTTCTGGTACGGGATCCGGGTCTCCCGGTCCTGGAAATCCTCTGCAGGACATTTAAACAATAAAAATGTGACCAGAGGTCTATAAAGTACTTCAAAAAATAAAAAATTACCTTAAAAGAAAATGACTGTGATAAAAATAAATGTCACTGATGAGAAAAGTACTTCAGTAAAAGTCATAAAACAGTTCACAAAAATTGGGAAAGTAAAAGTAAAAGTACTTTTGTACACACTCTAACAAACAGTTAAATTTGTTGAACCAAACTGGCTCCACAAAACCAAGTTGAGTAAATCTGTTAATTTCTTTCAAATAAAATCTGTAAACTGCCTTAAATTTACTCCCTAGGTTTAAGGAACTAGTTGACATGATTTGGTTGAGTAAATTTTAAAACCAAAGTATTGTTAAATAGAAGTTGTCTGCTTACACTTTATTTTTCACTTGTACTGCCATATGTGTCCTGTTGTGTAGAGGTTTGGGGTAATGTTTATAAAACCAACATAGATCCAATAGTTAAACTTCAAAAAAGAGTAATTAGATTAATAAATAATGCTGGGTTCTTAAATTCCACAAACCCACTATTTTTAAAGTCTTCTGCTTTAAAATTTAGTGATCTAGTGCAGTGTTTCCCAAAGTTGGGGTCGGGACCCAAAGTGGGGTCCTGAAACATCAAGGTGGGGTCCCGAAAATATTTTCAAAATTAATGACATTTTTGCCTTAGTTGTTACAAAGGAGTGAGGTTAGTGTATTTAAAATGGATAAATGTAGTATAAAAATATTGTTACTATGCCCGTGTTTTGTTGACCTGATACAAATGTTTATCATCCAAAAATAGTTGGGGGCACAGGTCTCTGCTACTGTTATTTTGTGTTTCAAAAGTTTGGGAACCACTGCACTTTAGCTCACTGTTCTTATAT